CACCCTCCCACTTTAGTTCCTCCGACATTACCCCCTAAACAGAGCTGGACACGCCCACTTTTCTGACTTTTTCCAAAGTAGAGGTGAGAAAACACCCTGCTGAAACGAGGGGGTTTCATGGCCCTTTAAGCCCAAAACTGCGTGTACACATTTAAAAAAATATACCAATGAGAGTAAAACTGTCAGCCCTCCTGTGAATTAATTATCCTTTTTCAAAGATTTCTCAAGTGACATTTAATGAAGCAAATCAATTTTCACAGTATGTCTGATAATATTTTTTTCTAGAGAAAGTCTGTTTTATTTCAGCTAGAATGAAAGCAGTTTTTTACCATTTTATTTTCATTATTTATTATTATTTATTATCATATTATTAGCCCCCTTAAGCAATTAATTACCATTAATTACCCTAATCTGCCTAGTTCACCTAATCAAGCCTTTAAATGGCAGTTTAAGCTGATCACTAGCATCCTGAAAAAGATCTAATCAAATAATATTTACTGTCATCATGGCAAAGATAAAAGAAATGAGTTATTAGAAATGAGTTATTAAAACTATTGTTTAGAAATGTCCTGAAAAAAATCTCTCAGTAAACAGAACTTGGGGGAAAAGGAGGGCTAATAAATGTGACATCAACTGTATATATATCTGGAATGATTATATGATATGATCTATTGTATGAATATAAAAGCATCAGACCTCTGCCAGGTCCGCCGCCTCTTCCAGGTCCACCTCCTCTGCCCTTTCCTTGTGGCTTATTCTGCTGCATGCCACCCCGGCCACGGCCCTTTGACACCACTTCCTCTTTCACCATATCTATAATTTCATCAGGGATTCGCAAGTATTTAATGGTGCTTCCTCTTATGTAGCATTCTGGCATCCTCCAAAACTTATCTCCATCCTGCAAATCAGAGCAGGCAGAAAAACAGCCGTCACATTTCAGCAAGACAAATAAATAACCTGCAGATTTGTTTAAATAAAACAAACAAGTGTTTTGCTTAATTTTGTAAGGAATCAATAGTCTCCCAAAGACGTTTTCATCTGAATGAAGTCGTATTTACCCGTGAAGTGCAAATAACTTCTCTCAAGTTTATATTCATCCAGTTGTCGCAGCTGACCAGATGGCCGTTGTATGTCTCGCCATTCTTTAACTCCACCAGCTGAAAAGAAAAGCAGATTAACTTAAAAGCTTAATTATTGTTCAGCACTTCATTTTAGGGCTGTGCAATTAATCGAAAATTCGATTTCGGCTTCTAACGATTATAAAAAAACCATTAATCGAGATAAACGATTATTCCATTATTTACCGCTCCCTTTTTCAATTTTCCTTACTTGTTGCTCTTAAAAGCGCGAAAGACCACATGCTTATGTGTGTGCGCCGCACAGACACAGTCAGAAGCATGCGGTCAGCAGTTGGTCTTATTCGCACATTGCGACGAGCAGAGAGCACACACATCTAAAGTCATTAACGTGAGCGCTTTAATGTTCAAACAGGTGTCAAAACGCAGTATTTAGTGATTATTCATATTAACCCTCATTTGTGTAATAAACAAACGAGTTGAGAATCAAAAGATGCGTGAAAGCGAAACCATTAAAGTGACAGAGCACAATAGCTGCCGCCTGTTTTATCATGATTAATAAAACAACGAGAAAATCCCTCTCTGCTCTTGATTGAAGTACTATGTATATATATATATATATATATATATATATATATATATATATATATATATATATATATATATATATATAGTCCTATTTGTTTTACTTAAATAAAAGCAGTTTTAAATAAATAAAAAAACATTTTAGGGACAATATTATTAGCCCCTTTAAGCTATATTTCTTTCTAATAGTCTACAGAACAAACCATCGTTATAACATTTTGGGTTTATTTGTTTTTCCAAATCATTTCCAGGCCTGGAAAATGCCTTGTCAAAATTCCATGACTTTTCGGGACAGTATGATCGCTGATCATGGCACCTTTAACTTCGTGCTGACAATAAAGATGCACGCATGAAGTGAGCTGCTTGATACTCACCATCGGGTGGTTCTGTGCCGTCTTCAGTAAAGATAACGGGAGCTAGGAAAGAAAGAAAGAATTCGAGTGGTCATGCTAACAACAGAGTAAATGAAGAATTTCTTCTGTGCTCACAATGGAATATTGTTAATTGTTATTCAATTGGAGATTACACTCACTAACCAGAATATGTGACCCTGGACTGAGCATATAGGACAATAACTGGGTTCAAGGTTAACAGCGGTTTGGAAAACTTAAAATTTTAAAATTGCTATAATTTTTCAAATACTTTTTCTATGTTATATGCAAGTTTTGTTTGTTTTCTTTTAGTTTTCATTTAGCAACACTATCTCCAGCAGAAAAGGACCCTCTACATCTCAAGACACCGGATAGCCCACGATTCAACAAATATTTGAAAAACAAATCGCTTATGGCCGGTTTGGTACGCTTTTATGGCCATTTGCACTGTCAAAAGGCGAACCGAACTGTACCACTTCTTAGGCACCATTTCGAAAGGATACCAAACACGAGAAAGGGTACCAAAAGGCGGAGCTAGATGTGCAACTGAATGTTCTAGGTTTACAGAAATACGTCATTCGTCTACGCAATAAGCCAGAATGAAAACAAAAAACCTGCCATGTTTAAAATACACAGCCGAGAGATTACAGCGTACAGCATTTAGCATGTATTTGATCATTAAATGTTAAAAACTCAGTCCTGTTATTCATATAAGCCATAACAGGAGCGAATTGCATTCTCTGCTGCATATATAATAATGCAAAAAAAACTATTGACGTAAGATATAGAGGTAAAGTTAGTTTTATTTTCGCATTTTCGTTCATTTAGAAGTCCCTATAATGTTTAACATGAATATTTGATCGGAATTAGCGTGCAAACATGACTTCTAAACAACATTAACACCATCTAATTGACTGTAAACAATGCTGTACTTTGATAATCATTTGGCTGCTAATTTGATTTTCCAATTTAGAATTTGCAAAGAATACTTTTCTATAATTATATTATTAAGGGGAAAGTCTGAATATGCGAATATAAAACTAAACTTACCTCTATATGCAAGATGATTTACTTGATTATTTAGGTACCATTGCTTATATATTTTAAACATTCACTCACTGTCCACTTTATTAGGTACACCAGTCGAACTGCTCATTAACGTAAATTTCTAATCAGCCAATCACATGGCGGAATCGAAATGCCTTCAGGAATGTACACATGGTCAAGATGATCTGCTGTAACGTTAGTTTAAATCGAGCATCAGAAAGCTGGAAGAAAGGGGATTTAAGTGACTATGAAGGTGGCATGGTTGTTGACGGGCTGGTCACTAATGATGTTTTCAAGTCATATACACAAGTATACTTGCATGTGATTTTAGACCAAATGTTTAAAGTACCATGGTAAACAAGGTAGGGAGCATGTCACAAGTTGTCACTGAACGAATGTGCGAATATAAAACCGACTTTGGATATTCTTGATAAAACTACGCCAAAACCTTTCTGACTTCTGAAGTTCCTCGCATGTCTGTAGAGATAATTTAATAGAGTAATAAATGTATAATAGCCGTCTACATTGATTTTTAACTAATTTTATCTATTTTACTAAATAAGTACGTAACGTGCTTGTAAAGATTCGTGTATACACCCAAATAAAACGTTTACACAACGCTTTGTTTCTGCGCGTAATCGGTGTTAACCGACCTACAGATAATCCAATAAACACAGCGGAAAATCTTAATTTCACTAACGTTAGCCAGTAAGTTTATCGACTTCATCTCACCATGTCAGCTGAATGACCAATCAGTCTTTATATGAAGTTTTAATCCACTGAAGACTTCAATCACAAATGATTTTCTGTGAATCTTCTTCGCAGCACAAGGCGATCTGCAAACCACTTACTGTTGTACTTCCAGGTGAAAGCGGAAGTTGTCAAAGCAAAAGTCCCAAAACGCTGCGTCCCAAATCACATATTTATACTACGCCCTAAAAAGTATGTACTTTTTTGTAAAGGAAAAGTTTATACTTTTGAGTGTGCAACAAAAGAGTATGCAAGCTTTGAGACTTACTACTTCCTCCTTAACAGATCGCTGTGTTGCTTAGTTATGCCCCGTGTAAATCATCCACACATCATCCAGCAGCAGGTTAATCTGCCATTTATGAGTCCTTCATGCAGAAAGTTTCAAGGACACCAGGACCATATTAATGTAATTAATGACTGCATGTTGGAGGGGCAGAATGGAAGCAGAAAGGATTCTTTATAAGATAGTTGAGGGAGACTCGGATTTAAAGTCTGACAATCAGACAATTAAATAAATACCTTTTATGTTAAATTTGTTTTGAATTAACATCACCTCTTTTTTTCTTTTGAGTTTGGCTCTCTTTTAGACTAAACTGTTTCAGGAATTTCAACACAAAAGGAAAAAATGGCTTTTGTTTTCTTTTTGTTACATTGATATTGGATTAATATCCCTTTACAGCCATATCCTGTAGAGTTTTGTTGTCCGAGTTTGGCGGTTGTTTTGAACCAAAATGGATAGAGGTAAAGTTGGTTTTATATTCGCATTCAGACTTTCCCCTTAGTAATATAATTTTAGAAAAGTTTTCTTAGCAAATTTTAAATTGGGAAATCGTATTAGTAGCCAATGATTATTAAAGTACAGCATTGTTTACAGTGATTTAGATAGTGTTAATGTTGTTTAGAAGTCAGACTTGCATGCTAATTCCGATCGAATATTCAAAGTAACATGGTAAACAATATAGAGACTTCTAAATAAAGGAATATGTGAATAGAAAAACAGCTTTACCTCTATCTAAAATGGTCCTGTGGTCCACTACAGTGGACATGCTATAAAATAAAAAAAAGTGTAAAAACTCTAAATTGTAGAAAAATTTTTAAACCCAAAATATGTAGGAAATCACAGAAAAAAGCAATTAATAAATAAACAAAATAAAAAATCAACACAGATTCATTCATTCATGTAGCAACACAGTCAACACTGCATCACATGTTTATTAAATATAAGCATATTCACGCTATATACATAATATTAAATTGTACAAAAGAGAGGAAATTAAGAGCCAACTTCTGTCGCTTTTGCACTTTTCTCATGTTTTTTCTTTTCCTTTTTGCTCTGGGGGTTTTTTCCTTTGAGTTTCTTATTTTTTCCTCGGATCTTCTCTAATTCATTTTTCCTTTTTTCTTCCAAATCAGGATCCTGCAATAGATTTAAAATTAAATCAAGGAAAAAAATTTTTAAAATTATGCATGTACACAAAAATACTTTATAAGAAACATACAAATATACAAGTTTTTTTTTAAAAAATAACTCACTTTTCCATCCAAAATCATCTGCTTCCTTTTGTTTATCTTCTTTTTCTCATCAAAATCTGTCGACTCTAATTTCTATAAAAGAATTAACAATTGTAAAATTTTATAGCATGCTTTAGATATATAATAAGTGTATATATTCTACCTGACAAAAGTCTTGTCGCCTATTTAAGTTTTAGGAACAACAAATAATAACTTGACTTCTTAGGGTTTTCACCTTGGAACAAAAAACATGGGTTATTCTTCTGTCCAATACAACATCTAGTAAAAACAACTTGATCAAATCTAGTCTTAAAATGTCTTCTGTGTGAGATTTCAGGTTGAATTTCATATAATTTATAATTTTCCAATGCATCCCATTCTTCTTGCCACTCGTTTAAAATGTAAACATTGATAAAAGGTCTCATCTTTGATGGAGGAATTTGTAAAGACTCAATTAACTTAATAATAAAGTCATCAGGAATGGCAAAGAAAGCGTTCTTGCAGGACTCCCAGTGTTCATCAAGATTCTTTAGATTCATCTTCAAAGCCGCCTCCATCTTATCCCAGATAAACTCAATAATGTTCATGTCTAGTTACTGGGGTGGCCAATCCTGGAGCACCTTGACCTTCTTTGCTTTCAGGAACTTTGATGAGGAGGCTAAAGTAAGAGAAGTGCTATCCTGCTGAAGAGTTTGCCCTCTTCTGTGGTCTGTAATGTAATGGGCTGCACATATGTCTTGATACCGCAGGCTGTTGATGTTTCCATCCACTGCAGATCTCTCACAAACCCCAATACTGAATGTAACCCCAAACCACGATTTTTCCTTCACCAAGCTTGACTGATTTCTGTGAGAATCTTGGGTCCATGTGGGTTCCTATAGGTTTTCTGCAGTATTTGTGATGATTGGGATGCAGTTCAACAGATGATTCATCTGAAAAATCGACCTTCTGCCACTTTTCCAAATGATCAACTAGTAGTCAAGTTATTATTTGTTGCTCTGGGAACGACAACAACACTTTTGACAGGTAGTGTATGTGCATATATAAATTCCCTCACAATTTCACACTGCCGTCTCGTTACATTGACCTGCGTAAGGATCTTCAGCACCTCTTTTTCTTCAATAGGAAACTCTTTCAGTTTCGTCTCTAAACACACAAAACAGCAATCAAGCAAACGTACATGTAAAGCACGGACGTAAAGTTGGTTTTATATTCACACATTCAGCCTTGCTCCTTGATAAAATAAATGTAAAAATGTATTATTTTGACTTAATCTGTTCTAAATAGCAAAAGTCATACAAATGATCAAAGTACAGCATTCTTCACAGTCAATTAAATACTGCTCATGTTGTTTTGAAGTCATACTTGCTTCAGAACGAATATTCAAATTAGCATGGTAAACAATATACCATGTCATATGTTTTCACTGAACAATTGTGCGAATATAAAACCAACTTTACCTAAATAAAGCAAGCAATTATATACAAAGAGCGTTATTATTGTGATTTTACTTAAATTCTTGAGTTATCTTTCTTTTTTGTTGTATAAAATAAGCGGTTTTAGTGGTAAACTTACGGTTTTGTTCCTCTATGGCATTGATAAGGTGAATGTCATACTGTGTAACTAGAGTGATTGATACTCCATTCCGGCCTGGACATGAAACATAAAGAAAAGAAAGATTCTCAAATGTAGTGTTTATTGCATTTAAACTGGGTACACTTAACATTTGCTCAAGGATCTGGCAAAAGTTCACTGCTCTATGTTAAAGCCACTTCTGAATTATTATTTTAGGTGAGGTATGCAAGTTTGACACCCAATGGTTGAACTAGGTATTGTTGGAATATCAAGCCAATTCCATGCGTGTTCAATAAGAAAAGGTCTGGAGAAGGTTTTCTTCAATGCCCAAAATATGTGTAATTTGTTAGATACAAATGATAATTCGATGACAGAGCTCAGGGTTACGGTACCCCAATGCAAAACAAGAATTACATTCAAGAGGTTCGCAACTGACATACATTTCCTGACTCCAGCGTACATACACAACTGATATTAACAGGTGGAGCTTTTGTTTAACACTATTTATCAGTCATTCTGCAGTCCTTTGGCTCTTGTACCCCAGACATACTTCCTCTTTTTGCAACCCTTCTCTGCATACCAGAACTGCACAATTACGTGCATCTTTAATATATTTCACAACTTCTACAGGGATCATGCTCCTTGTGACCTGTCCAGACTTTGTCTTAAACAGCAGTTTGGAACAAGAGCCCCAGCACTATATTTGTTCTTATTCTGCCATTTCCCTTGTGTCAGCAATTCCTCAGCAGTTCCTTCTAAAAGTATGCAGCACAGTAAAAAAAGAGGAAGTGTGTCTGGTCAATATGTGGTACCATACAATAGAAAAAGATTGATTAATCTGTATGTTTGCTTAAACATTTTTCTAATAAAAAATAAAGACACAAATGTAATAAAAATAAATTCCTTTTTTCCCCACAGTATTGCATGCCTGATTCAAAACACGTAAGAGAAGGTTGCCAGGTAAGGACACTAACAGGAGCGAGCCTGACTATTCAGCCTAAAAGCAATGTCACTCGATAAAAGGAATATTTTCCATATTGAAAGGAGTTTTTATCATAACCAACACCTGAAATGTATTTTTTATAAATGGCTTCTATTTCTGGCAACAGGATAACAACAGGAACAACATCCTGAACAACCGGATAAACTGATTATGGTCACCACAGGTAATGATGTGAGTTTTAATGCCACATTTATTGCCATACTAGTGTGAACACTGTTCTGATGATGAAATTTGCATCATGAACTGAACACAAACTCTGGAATATGCATAATGTAGATATTTTGGTGTTAGTGTCAAAGTCTGCATGAACCAGAAGTTGCTTTCAGTATGTTGATGTACTTCCAACTGAAACAGAATGTTGATTAGGGGGCGGGCTTTACTCTGTGCATCATTCCTTTATTAATATACTGTTGTTATGAAAGCGGCAGCACAGTGGCGCACAATCACATCACAGCAAGAAGGCCGCTGGTTTGAGCCCTGGCTAGGTCAGTTGGCATTTTTGTGTGGAGTTTGCATGTGCTCCCAGTGTTCCCGTGGGTTTCTTCCAGGTGCTTTGGTTTCCCCCACAAGTGCAAAAAGAACATGCGCTATAGGTGAATTGGGTAAGCTACAATTGTACGTGTATGTGTGTAAATGAGTATGTGTGGTGATGGGTTGCAAATAAGGGCATCCGCTGCGTAAAACATATGCTGGATAAGTTGGCGGTTCATTCTGCTGTGGCAACCCCAGATAAATAAAGGGTCTAAGCCAAAATGAAAACAAATGAATGAATGCAATGGAAGCCCTCAAGTTGATGTCAACAGAGAAGGACCACCACTCCCAAGCGGGAAGCAAATGGTTAGACTTTGAAAATGGTTTAAACAAAAAACTTGCATGGCTTAATTGTTCATCTTAATGGTGCGTTCAAACCAGACACGGATGAATCATCAAGCACAAGTGATTTACATGTTAAGTCAATGCAAAGATGTGAATAGGCATGCCGTGTTGCGATTCGTACAAAGGAAGCGGCGTGAGTTTTGCAAGTTTGACGCGATTCATGCGTGAATTGCTCGAATTAGAAAATCTGAACTTCAGCGGACATTCGAGCCACATTAACCAATCATGAGCTCATTCTTGTGGGAGAGTGATTATAACGTAGTGCCTGTTGTTGGTGTCTTTAGGGGGAAATCTCTAGCCGACACCGGACAACAGCTCATCAAACTTGGCTTGGCTCAGTCGGAAGCACCACTGAAAACTTCCATTATCCAGATATAGTTTCTGGTGAAGTTGATGAACTCACAGAGCTGGGTGCACCTCTGAAAGGATCTAGTCGACTCAGACACGGCTCTGAACAAATATATGCCGTTTTTCAGCCTTCCTAAAGCACAAAAACACAGCTATTTTCTCAATAAAATCCATGTTAGCCATTTAGCAACGTAGCTAGTATCACTGGGTAGACAGAAGCCCCACCCATAAAGCGAATCCACTTCTATTGTGAAGTGAATTTGACACACGAATGAAGCAAATTAGACGCATGAATGAAATGGGTAAACTCTAAATGTTCATTTACGCAAGAATAGCAGGATTTAATCACGAGTGCCGAGTCTGGCGTGAACACAGCATCAGAATAACAATATGAACGAGCAAATTAAACATCGAACATTTTGATTTTAGACAAATTAAATGTATATATTATTAGTAGAAGCCAATACCTGCTGTTAATAATTTATTCTAGAGAAAAACAATAACGGCTGATTTACGACTTATAAAAACAATTGCTTCATTCAAACAGGCTTTCAATTATGTTGTTAACATATGCAAACTCACCAGCTCGAGCGGTTCGTCCTACTCTGTGGATGTAGATTTTTGGCAAACCGGGTGTGTTGTGATTAATAACAACTTGAACTGTGGGAATATCCAAACCCCTTCAGTTAAGAACAGAACAAGCACAGAAAAGAGAACCAAATTAGAGAAAGGCAAAGAGATTACAGACACTGGCGAGTTGTGTTGAGAAGTGTTTTCTGTACCTGGCAGCAACATCTGTGGCTATGAGAATTTTGAAGACGTTAGACTTGAATTTTGCAAGGTTGGCAAAACGCTGTCTCTGTAAAAGAGAAAAAGCATTAGTACAGACATTAGGGACGGAGTAAGAATCAATTTTAACTACATCACTTACCTGCTTCATCATTGAGTGCAGAGAGATGGTTGGGAAATTGAATTCCCGCAGCATCATAGTGAGTATCTGACAGCTCCTGGAACATTAGAACAACAATACTGCATAACAATGTCATTTTAGATACTATTTAAATGATTTTTACACTTTACAATAAGGCTGCTTTAGTTAATGCTAATTTATAGATTTACTAACATGAACTGAGAATGAACATTTATTAAAGAGCCCCTATTATGGGTTTTTGAAAATTACCATTCATGCAGTGTTTAACACAGCTCTAAGTAAATGGAAACATCCACCGAAGGTTTAAATCTGAAAGTGCACCATATTTAAAACTATTGACTCTTTTGAGTTGACTTCAAGAGTCAGATGGATTATTCGTCCCTGTTCGGATCTTTTGCCTGCATGTGTCGACATCGATACAGGACATCGTCAAATATTGGTTCTGGTAAAACGTGAATGTTCCTTTCCCTTCAGACACGAGTTAAGTGCGACAGATAAAGGGATTGATCATGACGCGAATATTATTATGACTGAAAGATGGCCAGACATGCGGCTGAGGGGTATAACAGGCTAACTACTTCATGAGCATGGTGGGCGTTTCTCTCCATCTCGCGCTGAACACAGTCAACCAATCACAACAGACTGGGTCATCAGACTAATCACTGAAGATTAGCATCACAGAAAGGAGGGGTTTGGAAACAAATTAATCACTGAACAAATCATACTGCGGGTACAAATAAATGTATATAAAAAGACAATGTTTTTTGACCTTGCTTGCATATCAGTCTGTTGTTGGAAAACAAAAAACAAAATCATGACGTTTTATAATGTATAATAGGGGCTCTAAAAATATAGTTAAATATAAACTAATCCATTATAAAAATCCAAGTCACAACATGGTGTTAAAAAAATCAAAAACACAAAGCTGACAGATACAAAACTGAATGAAAGAAGCTAATGCAGCATACAATAACCTGTACGGTATTTAGACACAAGATGGAGTTAAACAGTCAAACTCAAAACTGACAGAAACAAAACTGACTTAGTAAAGCAAATGCAGCATGCAATAACCTGTACATTAATTCAGTTACAAAATGGTGTCAAAGAGACAAAATGGCAAAGCTGACAGAAACAAAACTGACTAAGAGAAGCTAATGTAGCATACAACAACCTGTACATTTTTCAGTCACAAGATGGGGTAAAAGAGTCAAAGTCACAAAGCTGACTGAAACTAAACCAACTGAGTGAAGCTAATGTAGGATACAATAACCTGTACATTATTCAGTCACAAGACAGTATCAGAGACAAAATAGCAAAGCTGACTGAAACAAAACCGACTGAGTGAAGCTAATGCGGCATATAATAATTAATAACCTGTACATTATTCAGTCACCAGATGGCATCAAAGAGTCAAAATTCACAACGCTGACTGAAATAAAGCTGACCAAGTGAAGCTAATGTAGCATACAATAACCTGTACATTATTCAGTCACAAGACAGTATCAGAGACAAAATGACAAAACTGACTGAAACAAAACCAACTGAGTGAAGCCAATGCGGCATATAATAATTAATAACCTGTACATTATTCAGTCACAAGATGATTTCAAAGTCAAAAACGCAAAGCTGAAAGAAACAAAACTGAATGAAAAAAGCTAATGTAGCATAAAATAACCTGTACATTATTCAGTCACCAGATGGCATCAAACAGTTAAAAAAGGAAAGCTGACAGTAATGAAACTAGATAAATGAAGCATATACTAACCTATGTATTATTCATATTAATATTATTTACAAGAGGGCACCTAACAGTCAAAAAACAGCATTGTGACAGACGAGCAGATACATATGAATGAGAATGTAAGTATGGCTGTAAACGTATTCACTGACAGTCAAGGTGATTCAAAGATCCCGAATGAGACCAAGTTGTTCAGCAGTTGTTAACTGGAATGTCATGACTGAACCAATCAGAACTGAATACCCTAGACAGCCGTGTAATAACATTAACTAATTGTTAGTTCTTAAAAAGAGCTAACAATTAATAACTTATTTGAATAAATAACTATGAATAAATAAAATAATTAATGCATTGTTCATTATTTGTTTGTATAATTAATACTTTCTGTATGTGCCATCGATCCGTCTCTTCTTGTCTTGTTTCTCTGAATTAGCAGGATTTGAACGCGGGTAACATAAGACAGTCCAGTGATGTCATTTCGAACATGTTTAATAACAACATAACTGAACTATAATACACGGTCAAAAAACTGTCTTGCTTTCATCTTCATGACACAACTTCTTCCTTACCGGAAGTGACTTCAGCATATACTTTATATTAAAAATTAAATTACTTTTAGTAAAATATTTTCAAGTTTGCCTTTTACATTATTATCAATGTAACATAAATAAAACAATGAACTTATGGCTCTTATACTTTCAATAACAGAGTTATACTTATTGCAAAGTGTTACCTGAAAATGTGAGAGGTGTTGGCTAACAAAGCTACAGTGACTTGCGTAGCTACCACAATATATTGGTTATTTAATGTACTAGTGACTTAACTACAAAGCAATATGACACATCTCACCCATTTAAAGTAATTCCATTCACTTTGTGAATGTAAGTAGCCACTTAATCTGAGGCATCCTTCATGCTAATTTCAATTATGATTGCTATTTGGGATTTGCCTTAACTTACTTGCATGTGTTGGTGAATATTATGATAGACCAATCATCATGTTCATCCTGGAAGGTTTGGATGAGATGGACCAGGTAAGCATCTTTAACTTTCTCAGGAGTGAGGATGAATCTCTGATCCAGTTCTTTCACTGTTTGCACACTGACAGAAAGAGAAAGACACAGTCAAAACAGCTCTGATGCACAAAATAGCCCTCTTCTACCCAAAAAAAATAGTGGTTTAATTTTGAAGATCTCAGATTCAGCCCACAGTTGCACTTACTTCATACGCAAATTATCGTGTAACTGCTTACATTACAGCAAAGTCTGATCAGTGGTCATGTGCAAACTACTCTAGGTCACAGTTTTGGAAAATCTGTGTAAAATATTTGCAGGATAAGTTAGCGATTCATTCCGCTGTGGTGACCCCTGACAAATCAGGGACTAAGTCCAATGAAAAAGAATTCAGTTGTATTTATTTGTATTCCCTTTAACACACACCTATGATATGGCCATTTCTGAGTGTTGATTTTAATTAATTAACTAACTAAAATGCACTAATGATAATTTATTGCAAAGTGTTTCAATTTAACTAGTAATATCATGATAATTTAAGGTCAATTTCTGTAATAAAAAGTTAAGCAATTATTTGAAAAAGAACATTTTACACTGCCAGAAGCCTAACACCAGCCACTAACATTTCTGGTTCCTGATTTGAAACCAGCAGAAGCCAAATTTCATAAAAAAAAATTAATTCAGCACTTTACATATCTTCATTCGCCTAACACACGTCTGACAGTGTCTTACTCTGATTTATGCTCCCAGAAGAAGGGCCTGTTCATAGCGATGCTCTGCAGCTGCTGCAGCGTGTCTGTGAGCGTGGCACTGAACAGAAGAGTCTGCCGCTTTACTGGCACCGCACTGAGAATGACCTCTAAATCTTTAGTAAAATCAGTACAGCCCTGCTCCAGAAGACGATCAGCTTCATCCATGATCTGTCAAAAGACACGTTAATTACATCAAAACTGCTTTGATATTAAAAAAAAAGCTTGAAGGCAGACAAAATGATCGTCTTACTAGAAATTGGATTCTGTTCAGGTTAATTGTGTCAGAGCTGCGAATGTGATCAGCAAGTCGTCCCGGTGTGGCAACAACAACATGTGGCTTTTTTGACAACTCCAAACCCTGAGTAACCATGTCTAATGGAAGAAAAAAGAAAAAAATATCTATTTAATACATATATGATTCTAGACAGTACAGTTATTCAGGCTACACCATTCTGGCAAAAATGAGAATCGCAGTTTTATTGTTTAAAACAACGATCACGATTTTCTCACAACTCTGCAGATGTAAAATAAAGGTTAAAATTAAGCTCCTATTTTTGTTATTTCTCAAACATATGAGTATAGGTTCTGATTGAAATGCTACATTTTGTATAGACTTGAATAGACTATAAATATGTCTATAAATAAATATTCTGATGTAAGTGATCATAAGGCATCAGACTTCAACTATTCATAATTCTGTCACAGCTAATGGTCAGCTCACGTGTGATTTTGCTGCCACGAACACAAGACCATTACATGAAGACATAAAATTTGGGTGAATTATACCTTATAAATACAATATTCAAACCCCATTTTACCATTTGGAGGCATCAACATTGCAGAGAAACCTATATTAAACAATGTGAAGTCTTGTTCCTACATACTTCTCTCCAAAAGCTGGAAATACAATTGGCTAAATCGTAGATACTGGAAAAGGTTTTGGGGGGAGGGGCGGGGTCGAATCGAGATCATGATCTTTTTTCATTTAATTGTGCAGCCCTAACCGTTATCATCATTTTAAATGTCCTAAAGGATGACTTAAGGCCTAGATATACTTTAAACATTTAGATTAAAGGGAAAAAAAGAAAGTCAAAACAAGGCTGAGTGAGAGTACACTGTTTTCGAACGCCGCTGCAGTAGGCAGGGTTGTAAATGTGTCACGCTGCACACAATGACATCACACAAGACAGCACAACAATAATGACAGCCCCCCCACCCACCACCCCCCCGAAACCCCAAAATAAATGCTTTGGTGAGCTGTTTTGAATTGCTGAAACAAAAACAAAAAAACTATTTTGTCAAGATTTTGTATGAAATAATGTAATTTTCCGATTTTGCTTGAAGCACATCGGAGCCTTAAGTAAAAGTTCTTACCCATTCCTCCCACAATGATACAGTCTTTTAAACCAAGTGGCTTCCCTAAAACTCGAAATTGTTCTGCAATTTGGTAAGCAAGCTCTCTAGAAAGAAAACAGACAAAAAAATGTATTATTTAATGACAAAAAATGCATGTAAATAAGGACTTAAATGTTGCAGGCTGTGAGTATTATAAGTAACAAAATAAACCTGGTGGGTGTTAACACTAAGCAGAAAACACCATAAGGGTCCTCGGACAACTTCTGCAGTACCGGAAGAACAAATGCTGCTGTTTTTCCACTTCCAGTTTTTGCACAGCCCATGCAATCCCGACCTATGATTAAGATCACAAAATACACACTCAGTTCAGAATAATTTCTGACGACGAGAAAAAGTGCAGATATTGTTTATTGTGAACACATTTAACATTCGTTTTGAGTATGTGTCTAAAAGTGCCCAAAGAGTAACATATTAATAATCCAATAGTGGCTATGGTTATCAACTGTTCTGTTTCAATTTAAATCACATTTTAATACCTAAAAAACAGAAATGTTATGATTATACCACAGCAAAATCCATATTCTTGCAGTATTAAAGTAAATCATATAGACATGTTAAAATTGCATTATACTATAACGCATTATACAATAAATGACAATAGACAAAACAGATTGAAAACTTTAAGCACTGTTATTTTTGCAAATTGAAAATCAGTGCAAAGTTTGTGAAGTTTGTCATTGAACCTGAGAAAACTTTGGAAAATAACCATAATGACGTAGTCTCCATGCTATAATAATAATAAAAATAATGATAGAACCATTTTTAACCGTGGGGACAAATCTTTATAAGTACAATTTGACTGTATTATTTGTATCCCCTTCAAAATATTTTCATGAAAAATGTAATATTTATAGTTATATATAATGTTCTACTTTGATAGTCACTAGCTGCTGATGTGATTTCATTATTTACAATTTGCAATAAATTATTTTCTGAAATTATATTATTAAGGATAAAGTCTGAATGTATTAATATAAAACCATCTTTACCTCAAATAAATATGATGCATTTTTTACAGTAAACATCTGAAGTGGATAAAAAAACTTTAATTAAAGCCGTCCTAAAACTATTGAACAACACCTATTCGTGTATCATTTTGAAAGTAAAACAATTACAACCGGAAAAAAAAACATTTTGATCTACTTCAAATGTTGTCTACTGTGAAGAGAGAAAGAACTGTTTACCGTCTAATATAGCAGGGATACACTTCTCCTGTACAGCGGTCGGTCGGCTGATGCCCATCTGCTTACACTGCTGGATCAGCCACTCAGACAGCCCGAGAGACTCAAACGTGGCCATTCTTACCGGCTTAGTTAAAAACGAAACACCAAAAACATAAACTAGACCGTATATTGTTACTTTGAGAGACGCTAAATTGACAACAATCTTCCTCGTGTGAGCATATGTCAGTCGCGTGAATTAGACGTCACATAATGACGCAACGAACTGAATAAAACACGCCCTTTACGTTTTGTATGATTTTTTTCAAGAATATTAAATCCTGGGGAAATGAGATGCCAGATTTTACCTTAACAAAAAAGATATAGAGAACAATCTCATGTTTATGTTAAATAGTTTAATATTATTAGGCAAGTTTCATATACTCAAGTGCAAGTGGTCAGAGAGGAAGCCTAACATCTTCCATTCCAAGACTGATTAAAACATTTATTTTGAAACTCTAAAAGGACTTTTAAGTCGTAAAACGACCAGAACTTCAAAGACTAAACTCCAACCTATTCTCTGTGGTAATTGTTATAAATTTTGTTTCTTTATTTATTTATTTATTATTTGACACAGATTTTATGCTAAAAAGCTATACATTTGATTGGAAATGTTCAGCAAATATAATAAAAAATAGTTTTATCACGGAAACACAAAGTTATACTGAATAAAAAAACTAATTTATTTATTTATTTATTTTAACTATTGAACAAAAAAATTTCAGCAGTTGAGATTTCTTAAGAGCTTTAAAAATGGAAAAGACTTAGGAATCAGTGGGAAAGAAGTTTACATTTTGGTGCAGTTAGCAAACAATTTGTTTTGTGAATGTGATATTTTCCAAAAAGCTTATGAATTTTGTCAATTTTGACAAGTCAAGCATCACAATCCATAGACATTTGTATGAAAAAACTCACCAGGTTAGCATATTTATGTTATCTCATTCATTCATTCATTCATTCATTCATTCATATATCATTCATTTTTTGACTTAGTCCCTTTTAGTCAGGGGGACCACTGCGTAAAACATATGCTGGATAAATTGGCGGTTTATTCCGCTGTGGCGACCCCTGATTAAGGGAGTAAGGTGAAAAGAAAACGAATGAATGAATGAAATTGGCTGTAGTGTATGAGTGTAAATATGTGTAAATGTTTCCCAGTGTTGGGTTGCAGCTGGAAGGGCATAAAACATATGCTGGATAAGTTGGCGGTTCATTCCACTGTGGCGACCCCTGATAATTAAAGACACTAAGCCGGAGGAAAATGAACGAATGATAAATTTAGTTTATTTTGGTGAGTCGTGTTACTTGAGATAAATGTAATGCCAAAATCTAAAGCATGTTGCTGTTTATGAGTGGAATACGCTTAAAAACTGCTCTTATTTAGAAAACCGATAACTAATCTTTAATGATGGGTTAAACTGTTTCAGTTACCACAGAAATGACACATTTTGCGACAAATAGGACACCGCTTACGGCACTTCGGATTCATTTCTATGCTATCCGCAAACAGCAGCTGACTGTCGCACAACTCTGACAGGTGGCCAAAACTGTAATGTGATTGGTTATGAAAGGCACACGTGATGTAAGTATTCCGTTACCCTTCCATCTCCCAAATAAAGACCATCCCAGTGAGCGAAGCAAGCAAGCAGCCCTTGAGAGAGTGTGTGTGTTCGCGCGCAGGTAAGCAGCTGAAGTCTGTCAGCAGCACCTGTACTGTCCTCGAGTATAGTACAAAGTCATTGAGGTAGAAATCATTAGCGGTTACTTCCTCTTCTAGTGTTGTCTCGTAGCAACCTATGCGATTGAAACTGACAAAATGATCCGAGTTGTTTGTGTTTCGTCATTGTAATGTGTTGTTTTCCCGATTTTATTAAGACCGAGCATGGTTAGCGGTAATTTGGGCTTCTGCACATGATGACCTTCCTCATCATCTTCCTCGCTGAGCATGGCGGAGTCAGATGGTGTGGAGTTCTTTGCGAATCGAGCTCAAAGCAGGTAATAAGATGTGGCTTGACATGGGTTTAAGGAGAAGTTGCTCCAATATTCAACATGATGAAGTGCTAATAAATGACACTTTTCATTATTATTATTATTTTATTGAAGCATATAAAAGACAAGTATACAGGATTAAATGATAACATGTGAAGAGTTCAGATACTAAAACTTCTAAATGCCATGTGAAATTTTCTCCTAAAATGATTTTTCTCAACCTCCCATGTTTATGGTTAAGTATTTTACTTTAAAAGCAATGAAAATAACTTATTTATCATTATAAAAGTAAATTTTCTGAGCCTACACACAAGAGTTTGAGATAAATTGTTTTTTAGAAGAAAATATCAAATGGCTTTTAGAGGTTTTTGCATCTAAACTCTTTATATGTAACAGTAATACAAAACTTAGTCAGTGATGCAAAACATATATGAGGGGATTTATCATATTAAAATTATTAGATTGCACAGATTATTTTTTTTTTCATTATTAGAGATGTTTTCATAGCCGTTTCTTGTAATTGAGGTCAAAGAATCATTAAATAATCTTTTTAATTTTACAGAAAGAATTAAAGAAGGTAGTAATAGACATTACTTTTGCATTGTGTATGTGAAACTTCCCAAGAAAAATGATCATATTCAAAGCCAGTTTTACAATTCAAAAAAAGAATTATGCATTTGTCAAAGTTAATAATTTTGTAAAATGAATCAAAAAACAACCCTGAGACCGGTTTTCAAAAATCATCAGAAAATGTACAAGTACAAAATAGATGTAAAAGACTTTCAGGCTCAGTGTTACAAAAACAACATTGTGGTGAAATGTCTTTTTTAAAATGTATTAATAAATATTTTGCAGGGATGGTACCTGTGTAATATTTTGAATATTAATTGCTGACCAAATATCATCTATAAAAGGTAAAATATAAGACCCTGGAGTTTAACTTTTCACTGTTTTTACTTGCCAAATGTGACAGGATATACAGTTGAAACCAGAAATGTACATACATTATAAAAAAAAGCAACATAACCATTTTTTAAAATGTCTGATGGTAAATCATACTGAACATTTACTATTCCAAGTCTTTCTAACAATACGTTGAAGGAATTTTGACTCATTCCTCAATTCAATTCGTGTAACTGAGTCACATTTGTTGGCTGTTTTGCTCTGCCCACAAATGTTCTATAGGATTGAGATCAGGGCTTTGTGATTGTCACTCCAAAACATTCACTCTGTTGTCCTTAAAGCACATTTGAACTAATTTGGCAGTATGCTCAGGGTCATGGTCTGTTTGCAAGACCCATTTGTGCCCAAGTTTTAATTTCCTGGGTGATGTCTTAAGATGTTGCTTCAGTATTTCTACATAATGTTTTTTCTTCATGATGCCATCTATGCTGTGAAGTGGACCAGTCCCTCCTGCAGCAAAACATCCCCACAACATGATGCTGCCGCCCCCCTACTTTACAGTTGTGATGGTGTTCCTAGCTTTCACCATTGTCCTCCAAATGTAACACAGGTCATTATGGCCAAACAGTTCAATCTTAGGGTGCTTTCACACCTGTGAATCGATTCAGTTGTTCCGAAACAGAGATTACAATTGTTACATTGTTGCTCTTTGCTCTTGGAGCGGTTCGCTTTCACACTGCAAAGTTTCTAATCGGACCAAAAGAGCTAAAACAAGTCACGTGCGAGTAAACTATCCTCACATTGGTCAGAGTGTCGGGGTTTATTTTGCAGAGTCCCGCTAAGCTGTCAGGAGAGGTGGTGGTTTTCGTGGTGATTGACAATGTGCGCGCGCACACGACGTGTCTGAAGAGAGATGCGGTGGGGAAGGGGGAGAAGGGTGCGCGACGATGCCTATTTGAGGACCAGGAGGGAGACTCGAGATTACCGGGAGATCATCACTCGTTTGCGGGCATCCGGAGACTCGCGAAACTTCCCGCCCGTCTCAAAATTCTCTCTTCATATAGCCGTAAGCCTATTACATATCCATAAAACACTGTGATATAACCGCGCTCGGATCGGGTCGCTTTCTCACTGCAATCGAACCGCTCCAGGGTTCGTTTCAATCGGGCCGAGACCACCTCATTCATGCGGTCTCGGAGCGATTTCTTTGGAGTGGAACAGATCGCGATTGCCCTGTTCACATATGCCAAACGAACCGCGCTAACTGGGCAAACGAGACAAGTTTCGAAACAAAAGTGTAGGTGTGTAAGCGCCCTTAGTTAAAGGACATGTCTCCAAAAAATTTTATTTTTCCCAGTGTAATTTAGCAAATTTTAATCTGGCTTATTTGTTGATTCTGGCTTGTTGATTTTCCCATGTTGTCACAAGGAAGCAGTGTGTTTGAGGTTTTCCTTAAATGTTATTTTACAGTTGTGCCTTCAATTAACTCAAATGTTGTCAATTAGCCACTCAGAAACTTTCAAAACCTTGACACCATCATCTGAGCTTTTTCAGAGGCAGAATAATCTTATTGTATGTAAACTTGACTTTTAAGAAAAGTTATAAAAATTCCCCAAAAATATATCTCTCATTATTCTACTATTAGGCATAACAGAAACAAATCTGATAATTCTAACTTACCTAAAAGAGAAAAAGTTTAGTCATGTAAACATCTGACTTTTGTTTTTTTGTTAATGGTTATGTGCCTGTTTATACAGTTTATGTAAACTTCTGGTTTCAATTGTACGTTAATATCCACTGCTGTATAGATATGTTATATTAATGTACAAAATAAACCTGACTTAACATCCACAAAGCGGAACTGAAGTATCGTCTTTTATATTTGTACTGACCTGCGGCTGTGGTGATTCACATCTAAGAGCAAGGGGTGTCCCCTGGTGACTCGGTGGTATGGGTTGTGAATAGGGAGGATCGGCTTTTTAATGTTTATTGCCACCCTTCATAGAGAGGTTAAAAATACAGGAGAAGAGCGAGAAGGGATCCGGCGGTGAAAAGGGTGGCATTTTCAGGAGATTATCACTCGTTTACATAGTGACCTGGGATGTCTGAATATCACATATAACAACTATAGTGAGAGCGATCCAGCGTTACATCCTTGATAAACTTTCCGACGTGCACTGCTCTCTGAAGCTCAGAGGAGCGCATGACAGTGTGTCTGTGTCTGTGTCTGTGTGTGTGTGTGTGTGTGTGTGTGTGTGTGCGTGTGTGTGCGTGTGTGTGCGTGTGTGTGCGTGTGTGTGCGTGTGTGTGCGTGTGTGTGCGTGTGTGTGTGCGTGCGTGCGTGCGTGTTTTTGTGACATATCAGGACACAAATCTGTATAATTACATAGGTATGACACAGGTATTACAAAAAGGAGGTGAAATATGAGGACATTGGTGAAGTCCTCATTTCTCAAAATGCTTATAAATCCTACAGAATGAGTTTAATCAGAGAGTAAGGGCCTACTCACACTATGCCATCCGTACCGTGCCCAGGCCCGGATTGTTTGAGAAGTGTGAGTGCGCTGAATCGGGCTCAAGCACGGTTTACTTTTCCGGCCCTGGCCCGGTTGGAAGAGGTGGGCCTGAGCGCGGTTCACTTGGGCTTTGGCGCGGTACGCTTGTGTGTGAATGCAAAACGCGCCAAAGCCTAAAATTGAAAGCGAGACGTGACTTTTAAGGGTTGTTTCATATGGATTTATTAATCATTCTTACTGTTCAGTGAACGCAAATTGCCGTAGCTTATTAAAGAAGCAAAGCCCTCACTGCACGACAGCTGTGCACCTTCAGCAGACCTCCTCATTCCTGCAGCACAAGAGCTTTATGATTGTTTATGAGCGGCAAAAGTGGCGGATCTGTTCGGCGAAATATCTGACTGCCTGTCACCGCATCCCTAAGGACTGTTTGGCGAAATATTTGACTGCATGTCACTGCATATCAAACGACTGAAATGATATAACTAGATAAATCTCCACTGTGCTGCTGAGTGGGAGAGTGCTTCTCACTGAACAGCGCAGCAGCGATGACGTAAGCGTGCCGAGGCCCGATATGGTGTGAGTGCGGGCCGTCAGGGGAGACGGGAGGGGGGACCAAGCGTGCTTTGGCCCGGTTCGAGGCAACTGTACCTAGTGTGAGTACGGCCTAAAGCTGCACACAGTCTACTGTGATGGTTGGGTTTAGAGGTGGGGTGGGCTGAGGGCAATATAATATATAGTTTGGTGTGTGTGTGTGTGTGTGGGGGGGGGGGGGGGGGTCATTTTAGTTCTAAAATGCTATTTTAACACTAAGACATCTCAGTGTAAATGGGGCCAAGTGTGTATTTTTCGAGAGCTGGTTTGCGACGGGGGCAGGGTTGAGGATCGGCGATGCCGGCTCAGCATCGTGTTGTCTATTGGCCATCGGCGATTGACGATGGTATCTTATATTGGCCCAACCCTACTTGCCAGTAACTTTTTTTTATTCATGTCCTTTTATAAAAACATGGTAGATAACTGGAAATCTGGCAACCGCAATAATCAAACCCTTGGGAATAACTGTGGTCAGAACCCAGTACTGTGTTCTCTGAATATTTTCAAGCTTTGGCGTGAAAGCACAGTTCTTATTCGGTTATGGAACATCTGTTGTCGGTTGGCAATATGAACCAAAATGAGCATTCCTCATTTTAGGTGCTTTTTAAATGTATGCTTATGAAGAAAACATTACTGGGCTTTTTTTCTTTTTTAATTAAATATATATATTTTTTACATAATAACACTTATCACAAGAACTGCTTGTTGCTTGAGTATTTGTAAGGCTTATAAGTTCTTTCTCTAAACAGGTTCTTCTTGATCCATTCTGTTGAATTATTTAGAAGTGCGTGCTATTACAGGGATCATGTTGATGCACCAGTTTAGAAACTGAGACCAACTGGTGTAACGTCAGCATACAGCAAGCTCATCAAGTACTTTTGAAGACTTCTATAGACTGTAAAGCAAGAGGCATTAGTGTGATGAGCAGAGGAGTGGTGAGATACAATTCCTTCTCATAAAGTGATTCTCTCTCTCTTTTTTTGCAGCATGGCTGACAACAAGAATAGCGTGCTTCGTTGTACTTTCTCAGCCCCCAGCCACAGCAGCACTCTCCTGAGGGGCTTGTCTGCATTGCGTGATCAAGGTCAGTTGCTGGATGTGGTTCTGGCCATTGACAACGAGCGCTTCGAGGTTCACAAAGCGGTTTTAGCCTCCTGCAGTGACTACTTCAGGTGAGACTGTTTGTTAGCAGGAGTTTAAATGGTGACATTAATGAAATTCCACATACTTTACTCATTGAAGACTTGAAAACATTTAATGTCTTAAAAGGATAGTTCAGCCACAACGCAAAATGTTGTCACCATCTATTCAACCTTTACTTTTTTCAAACCTTTATAGCTTTCTTTCTTTTGTTGATCACAAAAAAAGATATTTTGAAGAATGCTGAAAACCTTATTGGTTGATCACACCGGATGCGGCATGTGCAAATAAATTGCGAAATAGAAATAGACACTTGATCTTTTTGAGTTTACTCGCTTCATTTGCGTGTCAAATTTACTTCACAATAGACATGGATTCACATCATGGGCAGGGCTTCTGTCTGCCTGGTAACTCTAGCCTCATTGCTAAATGGCTAACTATGTTTTTATTGAGAGAATCGCTGTTCTTTAGGAAGGCTGATAAGCGGTGTAGATTCATTCGGCGCCATGTCTTGAGTCCATTAGATCCTTTCAGAGATGCACCCAGCTTAGAGCTAAGTTCATCAACTCCTCCGGAAACTGTACCTGGATGATGGAAGCTTTCAACAGTGCTTCCAACTGAGCCAAGCCCTGTTTGATGCGCTGTTGTCTGATGTTGGCAGCAGGATTTCTCACAACAGGCATTACATCATAATCACGCCGCTACAAGAGCATCTCCTGACTTGTTAACGTGGCGCGAATGTCTCCTTCAATGCGTAAACGCTCAATTCAGACTGCTTAGTTTGCACAAATGAAGTGGTGCAAATGACCCAATTCGTGCGAATGAAGCAGCACGATTTTTTTGTTTGCGTGTTTGATATGCTTAAGGCACGAACTGACCCTTTGCTAAGCCACACCTGAAAACCACCACACACCAATTGTGGCTCAGCAACTGTAGCTAAGCACAGGAGGTCTGTCAAGCTTTCAAGCGAGGGAAACAAGCCAGTGTTGTGTACATGGATTGTGCTTATAAACAACCAAGCCCTAAAATTACATTCTGGATCCCCCCTTTTAATCAATTCAAAAAAGCGATGTTAACACGAGCAAGGACGTTGCAGAATTGCAAAAATTTGCTGACCTTTCACACATCCATTCCAGAATGCCGGTAAATTCTGATATTATTAACCAGTGTCACAGTTTTTTCTGTTTGTGTATGTTTTCTTCTTTGTGTATGTTTTCTCTTTCAGACTCTCTAGTTAGGAGATAAATCGTCCCTTCAAAAAGTACGGAGACTCTTATTTTCACAATTTGAATAAAGATGTTAAGTCTTTTCTTCTTGATCCATGCAGAGCCATGTTCACTGGTGGAATGAAGGAGTCGAACCAGAACACCATAGAGCTAATAGGTCTTTCGGCTAGAGGACTGAAGCACATCATTGATTTCGCCTACAGTTCTGAAGTCACCCTGGACTTGGACTGCATACAGGATGTTCTCGGTGCAGCTGTCTTTCTGCAGATGGTGCCTGTGGTGGAGCTTTGTGAGGAATTTCTCAAATCTGCCATGAGTGTCGAGACTTGTTTAAACATCGGGCAAATGGCCACCACTTTCAGTCTCTCATCTCTCAAACAGTCAGTCGATGCGTACACGTTCCGTCACTTTCTGCAAATCGCTCAGGAGGACGACTTCCTTCACATTCCAATGGAACGACTGACTTTCTTTCTTCAGAGCAACAAGTTAAAGAACTGTAGCGAGATTGACTTGTTCCATGCGGCAATCCGCTGGCTACAGCATGATGCTTCAAGACGAACTGTGGCCAGCGAAGTGCTCTGCCATGTGCGCTTCCCATTGATGCGATCGTCCGAGCTTGTGGACAGTGTCCAAATTGTCGACATCATGGTGGAAGATGTACAATGTCGACACTTTCTCCTAGAGGCCTTCAATTATCAGATACTTCCATTCCGACAACATGAAATGCAATCACCGCGAACTTCCATTCGCTCAGACATCACATCGCTAATTACTTTCGGCGGGACACCTTACACGGACAACGACCGTACAGTCAGCAGCAAAGTTTATTTTCTTCCCGACATCACAGTTCGACAATTCAAAGAGTTGACCGAAATGGAGATGGGATGCAGCCATGCCTGCGTATCGGTTCTTGACAATTTTGTGTATGTGGTGGGTGGGCAGCATTTGCAGTATCGTAGTGGAGAAGGTGCAGTTGACATCTGCTTCCGCTACGACCCGCATCTAAACCAATGGCTTCGGATTCAACCCATGCAGGAGAGCCGCATTCAGTTTCAACTCAACGTACTTGATGGTCAACTTTACGCTACTGGGGGGCGCAACAGGTCTGGCAGCTTATCATCTGTTGAATGCTATTGTCCAAAGAAGAATGAATGGACTAATGTGGACTCCCTAAAGAGGAGGATCTGGGGTCACGCCGGAGCCACCTGCGGAGACAAGCTTTACATCTCTGGAGGTTATGGAGTGTCTGTGGAAGATAAGAAGACTCTCCATTGCTATGATTCAGCCTTGGATCAGTGGGATTTCAAGTGTCCCATGAATGAACCTAGAGTTCTGCATGCTATGATCAGCGCTAACAATCGTATTTACGCTCTCGGTGGCAGAATGGATCATGTAGACCGTTGCTTTGATGTTCTTGCTGTAGAGTATTACATTCCAGAGACAGACCAATGGACAACTGTCAGTCCGATGCGTGCTGGTCAGTCAGAGGCTGGCTGCTGTTTGCTGGACAAAAAGATCTATATCGTTGGAGGATACAACTGGCATCTTAATAACGTCACAAGTATTGTGCAGGTTTATAATACTGAGACGGATGAGTGGGAAAGAGATCTTCATTTTCCAGAATCTTTTGCAGGAATAGCTTGTACGCCCATAATACTACCCCAAACAACCACTCAGCGCTGAGCACAAAATCTTTCACGATTGCTGTTTTAAGCTCAAGTTACAAGTGCCCACCTGGACAGCATAAGTAATGGAATAAATGTCTATTCATCATTAAAAAATAGACAGCGTAATGTCTTCATTTTCAAGGCATTGATGATTTAAGGTTCGAAACAGTGTACCTAAATAACATTATAGCACAAACTGTCCTTTTTGAGATTGTGCCACTTTCTATATGCTTCTCAATCCTGTGTCATGATGAAGGTTTCAAATAAGTGCCTGTGTGATTTACAATTACGACCAATAACATTGGGGAATATCTTTTTGCCCTTTTAGTAAATGCTTTAAACCCTTCAAGCTACAGGGTTTTAAAACAGGTTCTTGCTGGTGTGGCTAAATGACACTAGAAAACAAAACAAAACAAAAATGATTCATTTTGAACTATTTATAACTTCAATATATACAAAAACATTTATGCCAAAAATCATTGTAATCTAGTACAGAATCAAGTATTTTTCTGAAAATAAATAAGTCTTGACGGAACCCGTTGTGATCTTTTAAATTTGGTCTGAAGTTCAAATGGCTAGCTACAATTTGGACAACACGGTCGTCGACAACACTATGGACTTTTGCTAACACTTTCTGAGTTGGGTTTAGGTGTCAAATTATGAATACGTTTTCCTAATTATCCCGTTGATAACATGGAGTACCTGTCTGCTCATCTCAAGAACTTGGCACATGTTTCTTGTAAATTGCCTCAGCGTGTTACATACCTTGCCTACAAGACAGGTCTCCATCACCGCTTTGCAGGGCTAGCTTAAGCTTGTGCCAGCCCTGCATTACACTCCAAATAAACATGACCAAGAGACATGTGAATATGTGGGACATTTTGTAAAATTGCACTAACATAAAAGTATACGCAAGTAATTATATGTACAGAATGCCAGGAGTGGCAGTCTGGCACATAAGTGAAATAAGGGCTGCATTCCTGTCCAGTCTTTTTATGCTCTTCACTCGCTAACTTCCCTTCATCTTGTTCCCTCGGATGTATGTCATGGATTACATTAAGCAAGTGTCCACTACTGGTGGGAAAGCTGGATGGGTTTAAATGGATTGCACTAAACCCTTGAGCACTTGAGAACTACACTGTTAGACATTTCAAAGGGTTTTTACAGTAACTTACTGGCAACACTGTTGCCAGTAAGTTACTGTATTTTAGATTTACAGTATACAACTGTAAATCCGTTTACAGCATGTTACTGTAGTGTCTGAAAATGGTTAACTACTGTAAAAACCTAAGTTAACAGTTAGCTACTGTAAACCTTTTAATTTTGTCCTAAATATTTTATAATATAATTTTATTAATATTATTTTAATACTATAGACCTAAAAAAGACACAATTACAAAATATTAACAAAATAAACACTCTTTATTTAAAACATTGGAGATGCTTAAAACAAGCTTAAAAATGTGTAAAAACATTACATTTCAATCATTCAAAATATTTTAAGAAAAAAAAACATTGAAAATGACAAAGCACATTAACATACATGTACAAAACTAATTTAAGTGTCTGACCTGCATATTGTTGAGAAAAAAAACCCCAATTGTACTAAGTACTACTGACATTAAACCAGACACAATTACAAAATATTCCATTCTTTAAAACATTAATAATGCTTAAAGCATTTAAGGAAAATGTGTGAAAATTACATTAAGCAATAAAATCAACACATTAAAAATAAATAAATCACACAAAGCACTAGAACATACATGTACAATAAAAATTTAAACTTCTGAATTGCATATTGTTGGAAAAATAAATATTTGTAACTATTAGCCGACTCAGAAACAACCCAACTTTAAAATATTACTAGTTCTGGTGTCAAATGCTCAACAAGGTCTGAATTCACATGTTCAAATGCAATTCATCTTTATTTCTATTGCACTTTTACAATGTAGATCAATGATGTCAAAGCAGCTTAACATAGAAGTTCTTGTAAATTGAAGCTGCTTCAGTCCAGTTTTCAGAATTGAAGCAGTAAATGTCACTGCTGAAAGTCCAAACACTGAAGAGCAAATCCACCGATCCACCAATCGTAGCCAAGTGATCCAGTGGCGACAGTGGCATGGAACAAACTTCACCAACTGACGAAAGTGTAGAATAAAATCCCTTGAGAGATACCAGGCTCAGTTGGGCACGACCAGTTCTCCTCTAGCCAAACTTGTGCAAGGCCGCAGTCTAGGCACCAGAGGCTTGAAAGTTCACGAGCGGGTGGTCAGGCTGGCCCATTGGATCAATGCGGAAACTCATTGATCACGTGTGTCTTTTAGGATTCACTCCTCCATGACCACCACAGCATCTGGTCAGGATTTGGCCCAGTCCAGGATTATGAAGAACTCTGGATAAGGACAAACAGACTAACATAAGCATAGAAGAAGCTTGTTTAAAAAAAAATAAATCATATACTGGTTAATTATTTTGAAGCATGGCAGCTAGGTTGGGGTAGTTTTCAGCTGGTACTGAGCAACTGGCTCCTGCTCATAACCTGCTCACTACCATGTTTAAAAGATAACTAACCAGAATGTCCTGTTTATTTTTTTCCCTAACAAGGTTTTACAAAAACATTGTAGCATTTGTGATGGGTTGATTCACTGCAGGACAGATTAGACTATTTGTTTTATGTATTCCTAATAAACTAAAACTGACTGAATACTGATAAAACTATTGAGAGTGTCTCACCTAATCCAAGTTCTCAGTTAGCTGGTGAAAGAAGGATAACTCACTGTTGTTCATGGTTGTCATTCTCTTCAGTACTTCTCCTGCTATCTTCTGGCTCACTCTGGTTGTTGCTGTGCATTTTGTTTCATCCTCTGGAATTATTTATACAAAAAATTGTATTATTTTATTTATTACAAAATATTTAGGCAACATGAAATGGGGAAAAAGACATTTAATACATAGACAAATGCATGTATCCCAATACTAATTATTGTATTTTGAAATGTCTGACCCATGACAGACCTCAATCTGCTCAAAAATATTATAAACAAAGATGAAAAAAAAAACCTACTAAATGGTTTAATAAAAAAGGGTAAACGATTTTTTTATATAGCTAGCAACTAAACATGTGACACATTTTGTATTAAAAGTAACGTTACTATATTGAGAAACAAATAGATGTACAGTACTTACTGTTGTATGAGGTCCAGTTTGCACAGGCAGGCTCCCAGTATTCTATATTGAGACCATAAAAAAGCCAAAAATACAGATAAGAATACCATGCTACAATCCACAACCTCCACACAACTTTTTTTTTATTTGTTTACCTTGGTTGCTTTCTGGTCTTGCTTATTTTTAAGCATAAGGCTGTGCTGATCAAGATGTTCCTCTGAAATGCTGTTTGTTTCTTCAGACAAAACCTGGTGCTGTGCTCGTGCCATATCTAAACAGAAAAAAATATAATGGTAACAATTATGTTAAACCAAATGTCAAGAGTTGTGATAAAAAAATAATTAGCAAACAATAAATAGCAAAAAGGTGGTTATTAGCATAATGCATAGAGGTAAAATTGGTTTTATATTAGCAGATTCAGACTTCCCCTTAATAATTTAATTTCATAAAAGTATTATTTGCAAACTCTAAATAGCGAAATCATTTTAGCAGCTAATGACTATCAAAGTACAACATGCTCACGGTCAAATAAACAGTGTTAATGTTGATTTCAAGTCATACTGGCATGCTAATTCTGATCGAATATTCAAAGTAACATGGTAAACAGTATAGAGTCTTCTAAATGAACGAATGTGCGAATATAAAACCAACTTTACCTCTATGCATATTGTAGATTTATGTTAGCGTTCTTATAGGTTACGTCGCGATGTTATTTTCTCAAGCTAACGTTATAAGTTACACTAAACCAGAGAAAAATAAGTTCACAACATCTAATATATATAGTATAAATCAATATAAGTTAAACGTTGCACGTTAAAATGAGTTTGAGTCCAATTCAGTATAAACTTAGCTCAGTTTAGCTAACAGTTAACATTACCATTTTAAGATCGCTTCAGCTAATGTTGCCGAGCAAACAAATGCTAATAGAGGCGCTCAAATCAATGTCGAGTGTTGTCAGCACAGACAGACGCGCTTTTACCTGGATTATTTGTTGGTCTTTCATTCATATTCTTCTGGGGGAAAACACTCTCTGCCGGACCGTTGTCTCGTGCTAAGTGTCCTCCAAAACTGTCTGCATACCTCTGGTTCCCTCCTAAACCAAAACCCGCTGCAACACCGGTTCCTATGTAAATAAATAAAAAGATATGACGAGAACAATGGCTAATAGTCATAAACAGTCTTATTTAAAGTAATAGTAGTGTTAATGTAATAAATTAAATAAAGGTAACATCTTAATAGATGATATATTTCTCAAATGGGCGAAATAACGCCAAGCCAGAGAAAATAATAATAGCCAACTTTATACTTTACTTTGTTCTATTCTCGTCCACAAAACATTCTGTAAAATGAAACACTGCCTCAGCTTACCAGAGTAAAGTTTGTTAAATCCAGTATGTTCTTCAGGCACACTAATAAATTGTCCTCCAGAATTGCTCCAGGGTCCTCAGGCAAAATGTGGTGCAGAGTAGTCGAATCGCCGCAAGGTGGCGTTGAAGCAGTTGTGGAAAATACAGTATAATACACGAATTTTTACAAATACAGTACATCGCTGTATATGTTGTTCGACGTCACACTTAATTCCCATAATGCAACGGTAAATACAGTTATTTACCGTAAAAGGAATTTGCAGTATTACACTGGGTGAAATACAGTAAATAACTGTGTAATTTACAGAAATGTCTAACAGTGTACCCTGTTGTGTTGTTACAATCATATTGCATTCTGGGACATATACTGTAGGTGCTAGAGTGGACATTTGAAGCCAACTCGCTCCCTCCGTCAAAAATCAAGGGGTCCGAGGGTACAGGTATGTCCATTTAAGCTTCCCTTGTTCACTTGTGATAGTGGAATGCAGTTCAATATGACATTGGGGATCTCCTCCGAGGGAACAAGGGAAGGGAAGTTCACGCGTGTCTAAAAGTGCACTGGAATGCAGCCAATATTTAGAATTACTACGTGGACTTTT